AATATTAGCTGGCTGAGTTCTTGCCGATATATCAAACTGTTCATACCCCTTGCACAAGGATATCAGTTATGTGCCCAACCAGGCTTTGAGCGGCTACAAAAGCGAGATCTTACTTAATGCATTAGATAATTGAAGGATTACATGAACAGCAGATCTCTCATCATCGAGTGACCATGCAATCCTCGATTTTGCACCAACTTTCAAGAGATAGGCGCCAAAACTCTTTGTAAAAAGATCGTTTGATCCAGGTCCAGTCTTCTGTAGCATTTGGAACAGGCGTAGATTCGATCTCCAACTTTTCATCTGAAAACAAGCGATAGACAGCCAGCTAAGTAAGTTTTCTCTATCGCATCGGTTTGATTCCCGCCCCCATGCCCCACGCCCCCAAGTTACTTAGATAGGCTACCTGGTATATCTCTCTGAGATACTGGCTATGCCAGTAGCCTTACCACCAATCGGCACATACTCTGCCCTCGTCTTACCAACATCCTCAGTCCGCTCAACAGGCTCGCCGGCCGATCTTGTCTTGCCAACCCAGTTAAATGCCGGGCGCACAACAAAACCAAGTAGCTGCTTTTGCCGCAAAGTCAACTTGTCCAAGACATCTTTCCCCAAGCTCAGATACGGGTTCACGGTCGAACCCATGAAGTAACGGTTGAAAGCGTAGATGAGAGCGGGTCTTTCGGCGTTGGTGGTGTTGACACCAGTGGAGTGCCAAACTGTAGTATTAAACACCAAGCAAGTGCCGGCCGGGGCCGATGCTGGGATGGATCCATCCTTTGCGACACCAAGTGTTAGTCATGTTTGAGAACAACGGCAGTCCAGTCGCTGTCTTGCCTCGTATCAACTTGCGAGGGAACTTACAAAGCTGTTTGGATCCCATGGGCGCACATGGCCAATGTGAGAGGCCGGAATCACATGCGTGGCCCCATTCGTTTTGCTGGAATCCTCCATGTAGAACATGAAACTGAGACCAATTGGATCGTCCGTGAAAGGATTCATGGGAATTTGGTCGCGGTGAAAAGGCATAGGCATGTTGTTGGGCCCCAAGATGTTGACCGAAGCCTGAGAAAGGTACGAGTAATCTCCCAGGAACCAGGCGAGCAGTTCGTCAAATAGCGGGTGGTTCAAAAGATCTAGAAATTCATCCCCTTTGTTGACAACGTTCCTTCAGTCGCAATTCTTGTTAGCGTATGCGGCATAAGGATTGACATGCGAGCTTTCACTCACCAGGATCGTTGGTTAGTCCCGCCTTCGATGTCGGCTACGCCAGCCTTCCGCTCACCGGCAGCTTGTTCGAGAATGGCTCGTCTCAAAATTTGAACTTGTTCCGGCGCCAAGGCGTCCTTGACCAGCCTGAAAGCCCAAATTAGTCACTGTTGTCGCCGTGCGAAGTAGCAATCGCCGTGAATAACATTCATACCCGTATCCAAATTTCTTGATGTCGCGCTTAATCTCCGCGATATCAGTCGTTGGTTTCGGGAGCGCATCCTCGGAGAAGGTGTAATCCTTGGGATTCATGACTTTGGATGGCCGAGGAGACATGCGATCCAAGAGATCGTGTGACTTCGGAGGGTTGGCGCCCTGCGCGTTGAAGCCGATACGGGCGACCATGTTCACGTCTAGGTTGCCATTGGCCAAGCCGAAGAACATATCCGGACGCAGAGAAATAGTCACGTCTACGCTCATCCCCGGAGGCGGAGACTCGAGCAGGCGGGTGCCGGTCGGCCGAGCATCAATGTAGATGGTCTTTGTGAGCTCGCCACGGGGCATATTGTCAGTCACGACGAGTTCGGCCAGTGTGTCAGCCTCGTCCAAAGCCTGACATATGTTTAGTTAGGATGGCACTTCAAGTTGGTGGTGAGGTAGGCTTACCGAAAGTTTGCCTTTGATGGTCTCAAGTACATCCAGGGCAAGTGAGTCGAATTCTTGTGCCTTGGGGTCGCTGTATGAAAGGGTCCCGAAGTCCATTCCTGGAGTCAACGGAGTACCCGCCACGGGAAGAGTTGACGCGGCCATTGGATCAAGCTTTGTTGGAAAAGGTCACTAAATCTGTTGTTCTGGGCGAATGCACAGCTTCGACTATTAGGCACGATGAAGCCATTATTAAATACAGAATGCCGCACATTTCGCATTGCAATATCTCCTTTCAGCGATTGCGAGACCGAGAGCGATATTTTGCTCCGGTTGGCAAAGCTTCAGAACACTCGCCAGAGCTAGGATATCCTCGCTTAAGCGGCAATCATCCCATACATTCATTGCACGTCAAAATTATAAATAGCCGAGCGTACCTTAATCGGATATCAGTGTTGATCATTCGTATATGCCCATTGAATGTACAGCTAGATGCACTGAGTATTTCAATTCCCTGGTGCTGATTGGTGCTTATGTCTCGACAGAAGAATGCCGAATACATAAAGTTCAACAATGTCCCATCGCTTGCGGGTGCCATTACATGCGCAGCGGGGTTCTATCTAGATAGACGTTCCCTCAACTGACCGACTTGTTGTTCTAGCGAATAGGGAATCTTGTAACTGAGCGAACTTGCGGAAATACGGAGCTATCCGCGGATCGCGCGTGGTGTAGTCCACCTGCAATCGATGAGGTGCAAGGACCGGTGATGGCGGTGAAGCACAAGGCATCACGGACCCCCACTTCGATCGATATGAGGAAAAGCCCTTGATGAACCGCAACTGTCACCTCTTGGTCAACAGTGACCGCATATCTGCTGCGAGCATCTCAGTGAATATAGCTACGTCACATAGGGGGGGACCTTCAGGCACCGTAGATTCGTAATTATTACCCTTGTTCCACACTTCGGGTACACCCGCTAGCACCTGAGCTACACGGGACTTGTTGGGATGTACATAGGCCGCTTATTGCTTGTTGCGGTGCCAAGTCTTAGGCTTGAGGCTTGCACGGTGATCCGCACCCATGCAGCATTCCAGACTACCGGCAGTCCTGAAGATGCTTCGATCCTATGCTATTGTGATCTAGAATAATCAAAACAGAACGTTGCTCGTTGCTCTGGGAATTCTTGCTCAAGTAAATGAGCATTACCATCGATGATGGCGCCAGATTGCGTGGCATGTTGTGGTCTGGGGACAATTGGCCTAAACAAAGCATACATGAGAGTCAAGTGTGGCTTAGCAGAGAATCATAGACTGGAAATTAATCAACCGGTAGGGAGCACACTGTGCTGTGTTGTGAGGCTCTGCCTCCTTTTGAAATTTAGCTTTTTTGCCATTAACGTTTTCGAGTCCGGATATCGGCGTTGGTTTAGGTTCAAGGACTGTGACCAGCCTAATTATTCTGTTGTTGACAACCCCTGCTTTAATTAAAGAGCCGTTGTATCATTTGAATGGCGTACACTTCAGGGGCTCGTGTTGATATATCATGTCTTGATTTGACAAAAGCTTGTACGCTCTGTAGAGACAAGCAGTCGCCGACTGAGATGAAGGACAGTCTTTCGCCAGAGTACTCCTTTTTTTACTGATGTTGCCTTGTAGTAGGCAAGTATATTTTCTGTGAGCTGCAACTTGCCCTTTCTCATCCCCACATTCTCTTGGCAGCCACCAACACACACTTGCTCTCCACTCGCACGAAGTGTTCAGTCCCCTTACACGAATCAGCAAGTCATCATTGTTATTTCTACTCTCTTTCGTTGCCTCATCTTGTCTCTTCTTTTCAAACTGAATTGCCTATCAGAACGAAAGCTCACAGAGTCACAGTGCATCCCCCAACCGCCATCATTCTCCTCGCTCTCGTCGGCCTCGGTCTGGCCGGCAACCCGCAGTACAAACTCAGCTGCGAGCCGGCAGTCCCAGCCGCGTACCAAGTAAGCTTCCAAGCCTACGCAAAGCGGAACTGCGGAACGGGCGAATACGGTGGAAAGCCAGGCACTTGGCATGACAACACGCAGACGTGCGAAGCCCCAACACCCCTCGAGGGCAACATCTCGGGGAGATATTACCACCCGATCTTCGCGAGCTCCTTGGGCGGCGCCAATATCAGCCCCCGCTGCAACTGGCTCTCCGCTTGAGGGGGAAATTAGGCTTAGATATGGCGAGATGTGCATTTGGAAGAGCCTCTGATTGACTAGATCAATGGGAGGCGTGAAAGCCCCATCTAAGAATTACAAAGATATCGAGTCACAGAGTATATCATCTACACAACGTTAGACCAACTCATTTCCATCCTACCCCAAGCCGCACTCTCACAACCAAGCGGACAGCCATACTTCAACCATAAAGTAAAACCAATGAATCTGAATTTCTTTCCTACTATTCTCACAAGTAATACAAACAAGCCCTTATACCTGAACCCCCTTAAACCAATGCCTGATGATGTACACTCGCAAGCCGTCCATCTCTACGAAAGCTCCTCGAGCTGCTTTACAATGCCTCTACACCCCCTCCAATCTGAAAAGCATCAACCAGCCTTGCCCTGATTTCTACGCGCAAAAGCTTTTGTTTAAAAAAAGTATCGGGTATCATAAAACGTTGTCGACGAAGTGAATATGAATCATTAAGTAGTGCGTGGGCGGATGCAAGTCTAAAAGGTCGCATGGGTGCGTGCAATCGCAGGGCTGTCATCCGCAACACCAGGCAAGAGAGGGTACCGAGATGTATCTGTCCCTTCTTCCCAGCTGCGCTGCGCCGGCCCCTGATAATGTCCGAGCGACGAGGACGATGTATGTGTATGATGTGTTTTGTAGGGTTTGACACGGAGTGGATTGTCTTTGTATCTGAACTTGGAACTTCGGCCATCCTTTTTGACCAGTCGTGCAAAACTCGCAAAGTAAAATAATAGTAGCAGTGTAATGAATGCTCGTCGCGGAATGTGTGTGGTCCTCTTTGCCCATTCTGTGCCGCATGTCGTCGTATCGACTCAAATAATCTTCTCTTTCCTCTTTCGCGAACATGGCCTTCTCTCTCTCTCCCTCTTGTCGATTATCATCAGAAACATCCCCCGCCATTGCTCCAAGGTCGAGATTTCTCCTAACGTCTCTGCCTCTTCTCGCGATCGTTCCCGAGACCGGTGGCGTCCTCGCTTCTCCTCTTGCGACCACGCTCCTCTCGCGGCTCACGTCGGTCATCGTTCTGCCTCGATCCGCCATCGCGTTGTCCTCCTCTAGGCGCACCTCGCGTGTTTCCACCCCATTCTTCATTACGTCCTCCCGAACCTGCTTCTCCTCGTGCTCCATCCGCACGCACGCCGTCGCCACGATCGCCACGGTGACGTGGCTCACGTCCACCTCCACCAATGTTCTCGCGGCTGTTGCCATGGGCGGCATTGGAGTGAGAGTCTCTGGTGCTACCGGAAGGATCCCGTCCTGACCGTCTCGGCTCGCGTTCCTCTCGGTTGCTCGAAGAATGGCCTTGGGCCCCTGACCTCCGGTCTCTGTACTCACGTGGCTCCTTGGGCTCCCTCTCGCGTTCTTGACTGCGCTGCTCTCGTTCCCGGCTGCTTCGTCTTGACTGTCGGCCGCGGTCCGAGCGGTGTTCTTTTCTGCTGCGATCGTGCTCGTTGCGTGAGTGATCCTCTCCATTAGCCTGGCCGCGATCTTGCCGGATTGGATCCGGACGTTCTTGAGTCGGAGTCGAGATGGGAGACGCGCCGGTCAACACTTGAGCGTCAGAACCAGCGATGCTACCGCGAGCTGCTCCACGTCCCCGGATGGTAGTGCCGCGGCTAGTGTCCGGCATGTTAGCTTGGGCTTGTTGCAAAGTATTGTTGATACCCGCAAGTTGCCTTCGACTGCCACCGCGACCTCTGTCAGTTGACGCCGGTCCAGAAGGTGCACCATCGGTCGGACCAGGGAAGTTGCCGGTGGGCGTCTGGACGTTCCTGTTGCCGCCTCCAGAAGGCCGGTCAGGGGTGTTGAGAGGAGGCAGCGACGGCCGGGAATGGCCATGGTTGGGCGGCTGTCCCGGAGGTGGCGGTGGCGGAGGCGGCGCAATCTGGGCCAGGCGATCAGGGTGAACTCCAGTGGCTGGGCCTCCGGCACCCGGAGTTGGTGGGACAGGCGGTCCAGAGCTAATGACACGAGCGCGGTCGGGGTGTGTGCTGGGAGTGGGCGTCGCTGTCGTAGGCGAGCTCACGGACTGATTCTGATTCGGGTCGTATTGATTCCTGCGCCCCCTACCCGAGGCCGGTCCGGTTGGTGGATGCCTCTCGTCAGGCGCCGCCGGGCTATCGGTGCCGGGAAAACGTCCATCGGATCTTGAATTGGGAGTGTTCATCGCACCGCCACCTCGAGCGGATGTTCGGCCACGACCACGAGGTCCGGAGGGCGGTTCGTTCGTAACGACAGACTGGATAGGATTCAAGCGACCATAGTTGTGGTCTTGGCGGGTGTGATCGGGATCAGAGCCTCGACTGGGGCCAAGGAATGCCTCCCTGCCCTTATCCTGTCCAGGCCGGCTACTGTCACGGTCGCCAGCTCGATCGGCTCGTGGATGCGTAGTTGGGGACTCATTGTGTGCATCCCGATTCGAAGACCGATGGTCTGAGTGATGAGAGCGACCATGTCTGTCATCTCTCCCGGCGTCAGGGGTATCTGGGTTGAAGCGTCCACTGCGTCTGGGAGAGTGGCCGCGAGGCGTGCCTCTTTCTCTGGGCTCATCCCGTGCTGGACGCGATGGCGGCTCCGGGCGAGTCTCTCCGATCAAGGCGGCACGTTCCGGGTTGATGATGTCAGAACGGTCCGAGTCGCCTCCTCGAGGTCCTCTGCCACTGCGACGATCGGGCTCGGATGACCGCGGTGGCCTTTCTGAACGGCTGGGCCTGTCTGGCTGGTCACCCTGGATCAGAGCAAGACGGGCAGAGTTGATGGGCGGCTCTTCAGGTGGCGGCTGTGCTGCTTGAGGGGGTGGCGTGGACATGACTGTGTCTCTCGAAAGTCGACCAGGCTCAGAAGCTCGGCCATTAGCCTGAGGCTGTCTGTCCCGTGACTGGCGGTTGTCACGATCATGAGTGCCGTGTTCGCGGCGCTGAGGTTCTTGTCTGCCGGGCCAGTCCTTCTCTGACAAGCGACCGACTTCTCTGGGGCCGTCCGGTCCACGGCGTTCCTGATTGGCGAATTCGCGGCTGCGGTCAGGGCGAGTGGGCTCAACAAACCGAGGGTCTCTAGATTCCCGTGATTCCCTATGATCCCTGGAGTCACGGGGTTCTCGAGAATCTCTGGGGCCACGTGGCTCGCGGCTGTCTCTCTGGTCGCGGCGTTCGGGCAGGCCTTCAGGAGGAAAGTGGTTGCGGTAGTGGCCTGGAATAGGCACGTCGGGCCTCTTAGGCAGGCCTGAAGGCGCGCTCGTAGGAATAGGTTTGGGGCCGTCCCTCTGGTGTGCGTTATTTGACGGGGTACCGACATGGGGCTTCGGCGTTGATGGTTTGCTCGAGGCGGCAGAGTTGGCTGAGGGGGTAGCACCGGGTTTTGCTGAGTCTCTCTGCGCACCAGAGGGCTTGGGAGGAAGATTGGCATCCTTCTGACCGATATTGGCGGGCGCCGACGGACCAGACGGTCGGTTTTCGGCATCCTTGCCGTCCTTGACTTCTCCATCCTCCTGCTCTGCTGCACTCTTGGCAGAGCCAGGCTTGAATTCGGCAGCGGTCGGGCGCAGACCTGCCGCATCGCCATCTTTCGTCTTTCCTTGGGCTTGTCCGTTCTGGGTGGTGGTCAGCATACTTGTTGTCTGGGTTGTGATTGATCGACCCACCATATTTGGGCGGAAGCCTGCTGGCAATACCCACTTCGCCTTCCTCCTCTGCAACTCGGACAATGCACCCTGAGCAGCAACTGAAAGATCAACGCGGTGTCCTTCCTCTCCGGCTGTCGCAGTCTTGGAGGCTGCCTCACGCTCGGTGATGGTTTTCAGCTGCTCAATGAACTGGTTGCCCATGAAGGTAACGGCTGGGAAGAATTCAAGAACAGCCTTGAGAACCGTCATGGCATTGCGAATGTGCATCCACTCCATGCCGCCGAGACAGGACTTCAAAGCCAGGTTGAGCTTGTTGTGCCAGCCGTACAGAATGTCTCGAAATTGCGCGTGGTCGTAGTACGCCGTTGGTTGTCCCTCGGCATCAAATTCCGATGCAAAGCCAAGCAGATTGCTACGCTTGCCGACAGCTTCCCTCTCAAAGACATTGGAGTCTCGGTGCCATTTGGCGAGGTCCTTCAAGATGCAGTTCAGGAACCTTCCGAAATGCTCGGCTTCACGAACGGTGCAAGTGAAGATCATGGACCGAAGTCGGTTGACATTGAAAATTCGGTCGTACAAAGCCTTCAAGCGGAAGTTGGGTGCACCGAAGCTGTGGATCTTTCTGATGAGGGCGTAGCAGTACTCGGCGTCGCTGGCGGAAAGCACAAGTCGGGGAAGCAAACATTGCTCCAGAATTGCGTCCGAAATACCGTTCAGCTTGGTAACCGAACCTGTGAACCATGTGGCCATACGGTCAGACATGTAGTCCCTGACGACGCGTGCCCTCTTCATCTGCAGATCAGCCTCCTTGGGAAGTTCGTTGCCAATCTTTTGAAGTTCGGCCTCTTTGGTCTTCTTCTTGTTGACGCCGCTGCGGCTCATGTCCGAACGGTCTCTGTTGAGATCTTTGGCCAAGTTGGCAATTCTCTTATGGGCACTGTTGTAGCTTGCGGCAGGTACTTCGATGTCGCCAAGTTGAAGTGCCCAAAAGAGAACGTAGAACTCAGAACTGAGCTTGCTCCAAGAAGCCTCGGGCGTAATGAACTGAATGGAGGCGATGAGGGGCTCAAGAGCTTCGTGAATCTGGCGCATGGCGTCCTTCTTCGCCTTCTCCCGGATTTCTTGTGGCGTGAGCGTCTTTTCTTCAGCCTCAGTCGTCTCTTCGCCAGTCGGCACCATAGACACATCTCCGTCGGTATCCGCGATAGCTGGAGCATCCGGCTTCTTCGCAAACATGGCGTGAGAGACGCCTTCTCTGCCGATGAGAAAAGCGAGACTGGCATCAAGACCAAAGTCATCCATCAAACACGCAATGGCAGGGACAAGGGCATCAAACTCCTGTGGTTCCAAGTTCGTTCGCAGGAGGTCGAGATACTGAACCAAGATCTGGTGGCTGTCGTCGATAACGGAACCGATGTACTTGATATGAGCCTCGTCATCAGGGAGCTTGAAGATGGCTGACTGGCGGTATTGAGCAATGTTGATGAGAATACGTCCAGCAAGCTTCGATTCGGTCAACGATTGCATGAGGCGCTTGGCACTGCGCCCCGACTCGAAACGTTTGTCCTGAAGACCAAGCAGGGTCTGTCGACGCAACACCTCACCTCCTGACATGGCCAGAATCTGTTCATCGGTAAAATCAAGGACTTGAACAACGCCTCCCATGGAGGCTACGAGCTCCTTGAGAATGATCAGATCCGTAGAGTTGCCTTTGAACAGCTGATCATCGACGTATCGAAGGATGGGGCTCGGGTCCAAAATCGAGTATCGCTTAAAAACTTTGCCGGCAAACTTGGACAAAGCTTGAAGCCATTTGCTGGTCAGAAGGATCGAAGATTCTTGGGTGCGGCTTCTTTGTTTGCCGCCGAGGGAGCTCATCAATGACCACACCAGGACGTCGTACGCCAAGTCAGTGAAGTACTTTGCGCACTCAACGAAAGCTTCGATAAGATTGGCGTAGGATTCGATCTGGCTCAAGGCTTCCTTGAAGACAATGCCTGGGGACGAGTAGCTGGTCTTTGCCAAAGACTTCGCCATCTCGCTAAGATTGGTCAACGAAATGCGCTTCATCACACCTCTGGTCTCGATGCGAGTGCGGGCAAAGGCTGCTTTCATGGCTGGAAGTCTGGATATTTGGCCCTCGAACCACTCTGCGTAGATTGAGTAGCGGGTGGTGACGGGGTAGAGCTTGAGAAGGTCCCAGACAGAGTTCACGACTGCCGCGTTGGCTGTAGTCATGCTGAGGGCGGGAACCAAAATGCGTCGGAGAAGTTCCTGCCAGCGGTCGAGGTTTTCCTGGGTCCGATCTTGTCCAAGACTCTTAGCTCCGATACTAACAAACTTTGCCAGTAGAGCAGGGTCTTTGCCGATGTTGACGCCGGAGATGTTCAAGAAGGTATCGCACAGAGTGAAGACATCCTCGACGGTCTGGCAAACAGGGACATTGTCGGCCCATTCGTCCCAGTAAAATCGGTAATGCTGGTCTCTTGGGTCGAAGCCGTCGGGGAAAGGCCACTTCATGGACTTCTTGGTCGGTGTAGTAGTGAGCTTAACAGTGCCCTTAGGAACGCCGCTCTGGTCAAGGTCGGCAATCGACTTGGCAGGACACTCAGCGGAGCAGATGGGTGTGGGTCGGCTTTCCTGATAGACCTTTTCAATGCTGTGGTTGAGGATGCGGTGTACGCGGTCAAGGATTTCAGGGAAAGCCTCGGGGAGCCAGGGGAACCGGCCAAGAATGAACAAAGACTCCGGAATGGCGCCAATCGTCAACAGACAGATGAGCAATGCCGCCTTCTGCTCCATAGGTTCCGGTAGCTTCTCCTTCTCATCCGCGCCGGCATCGGTCTTCGCGTCCGCATCGACCTTTCCGGAGGCATCCCGTATGCGAGTGGTCGGCACAGGTGCTGTGTCATCAGGAAGAGCACCCGCCATAAGGAGCGCATTCTGTGCGGCACCGGGTCGACTCTGTCTCTCCTTCTCCTCGAGTTCCTTCATGCGCTTCTCCCTCAAAGTCTCCATGTCGTCGTCCAGAGGCCAGAGATGAGGGTAAATGTCAGTGATTGACATAAATCCGACCTTGATGAGAAGCGCAACTAGGTAGAGAAGGTTGGCCGGCAGCACGTCGGCGGCATCTCGGGCGTCGGAAGAGTAGAATCGCAACTTGAAGCCTAGGAGCTGGGCAGCAGTGCGGTTGCCTTGAGGCGGGAGCGTCTTTGTTGCCTTCATCCACGCCGAGGCGGCGTTGACTTCGGCTTCGGATGTTGACTCGGATGCCTCCAACTGTTTGAGGTTCTCTTCCGTGACCTCCCTTCCCCCAAGCTGGAAGAAGGCGTCCAGATGAATTTCACGAGCCCTGTTCCAGAACTCGATATCACGCTGACGTCTCAACTCAACCGCCTCTGCTTCGGACTCATCACTTGACTGCCAGTGTGAGTTTTCAGGCAGAGCCCAGTTGGGTAGACCGCCCACGTAGATGGATGAGGGCGGGTTTTGGTTGCGAGGCCACCAAGAGCTGACGCGAAGCAGCTTGATGAAGAACCGGAACTGCTTGATAAGCACGGCGGCGAAAACATCAAGCGTAACGTCGAGAACACGCCCGACGTCAAGATCAAAAGTTCCGATAAGGCCTTTGAGACGCTCGAACGCTGCGTGGGCTGCCTCGGATGTGGGGGGTTCCGAGCTGCTGGTCGTGAAAAGCTCGGTCATCAGCTTGGAGTAACCCTCGGTCTCCTCGCGCAGCAGGTTGTAGTTGGCTTGTCGGTAAAGAAGGTTGGTGGCGTGGCGAATTCCGAGCTTCACGAAAGTGGTGCGGATGAGACCGAGATCCTGCAAAAGCTGGGCATCGAGGACCTGGCGGAGGAGGGCGGGGGAGATGCCGCTGCACTGGATAAAGTCGCGGAGCTGGGGCTTGAAGAGCCCGCGATCATTGTCGAAGATGATTGACAGCGTGTCGAGGAAGAGAGTGTGCGGCTCGAACGAAAATGACTCCTTAATCATTTCTTGCGATTCCGAACCGAGTATCTCTTTCATGCACGCGCCAGCGTCGGCGGGCGATAGGCGGCCCTCCAAGACAGCATGGATGAATTCTTGGTAGATGCTGGTCAGCTCTTCAATGTCAACATCAACCTTGGACTGCTTCGCATGCTCGATCAGCTCTTGTCGGCTCTTGGCCGTCCACGAAGCGATCGCATCGTCGGTGATATGTTCGTAGCAGTAATTTGTCGGCACCGGAGAGGGCGGGTGGGATATCGAGGCAGCGGCGGTAGCCGCCGCTTGGTCGGTTGTGACTGGTGCCGGCGCAGGCTGCTGCGACTGAGATGGTGCCGAGGGAGGTCTGGGGACAGTTGGGGACGTGACGCGGGAGGGGTTCGATGAGCTCGTCGCGGGCGGCTGTTGTGATTGCTGCTGTCCCTGTGCTGAGTCTCGGCGGTCGTTTCGTCTAGTGTTCCTACCACTGCGGCCGCCTCTTCCGCCTCCCTCGGAGAAGTCTCTGTCGCGCTGGCCCATGGTTGTGTCGCCGGGCCGATGAGGAGAGGGCCTGCTTCCCTCGTTGGCGAGGCCGCCGCGAGCCTTGCGCTTCGGAGGCATGTTGCTCTCGGATCGCGGTTTCGTTCAGGGTATCATTGGAGACGCGCGTCGATTCTGTATTTCTCTCCTGTCGGCATGTCTGGTCAGTTGTTTGTCGTTCGCTTGCGCGCGCGCAGCTGGTGGAAGGAGGAGGAGGTGAGGTACCAGGCGGAGGGAAGGAGCTCTCGTCGCGTGTCGATAGCTAGATCAAGGAATGACGTGCACAAAGGAAATAAAAGTAGGCGCAATCGTGTCTTGCCGAAGGAACGATTCGGAGACCCGAAACAAACGATGCAATGATTAGAGAAATGTCGTCGCCGTTTGGACTTGGGTGACTTTTCGGGTTTGGCGACGGGGATGGTGAGGATGGACGATTTCTCGCGTGAAGAGGCAGTTGCAGCAATGTGATCCACCAGAGACACAGAGCTTCAGATCCACTTGGCTCACTGCAAACGGGTGGTAGGTAGCAGCCTCACGAAAAGACAAGGCTGTCAGCGCAGGTAGCGTCCGTCGGCTCTGACCACGACTCCCGTCTGGGGCGGCTCTGCTGGAAGTGGGGCGGGCCAGACGCGAATTCTGTACCGGCTGGCGGCATGTATCGGTTACATGCAAATCTGCAGGGGTGCCCCTAAAATCCGCCGTTGCGAGGACTTGGAGCTGCTGGCTGAGTCATCGACCCCGCGGAGCCAATGAATCACAACGCAAAAAAAACTGTCGGGAGTACGTACCTGCCTACTTACCCAAGAACCCCCCCGGAGCGATTACGCCATTTTCGGGACTGGTCTCTGGCTTCTTCTCGCTGAACGCCGGCCAGTGAAGAGTCATTCTCAGCAAGTCCCAACCCCAGATTCTTCATATATCTCGCATATCTCGCCATCGCAAAGGACCCTCAAGTCCCCAGAAACCTTGCCCTTGTCCCATTTTGTTTACGACTCTTCGTTGCATCGCCAATTGAGAGCATTTTTACCTCATTCTGCCGGACTCGCGCTGCCCCTCGTTGGTTCCGAAGTCGGGATGACGGAACAAAATTTACAAAACGGCTCTCAGCCGAGATACGGTCAGTATAACCTCTGCCCCGGCGCGTTCAACGCGACCCCGTCTCAGTGTAATCCTTTAAGAATTATGAGTCAAGTGACTCGAAATGCTCTTCTACACCAACATGTCATTCAATGTCCTGAACAACCCTTCTGTCCCTCCCCACTATGAACACACATGCGCGCCCGAACATGAGATGAGAAGACCGGTGACTGAATACCTGTAAGAAAGAACCCAGACGCAGCCTGAGAACCCGTTTGCTACCCTGATTCCGGAGCAACAAATCGCCACTATCCCCTCCTTCACCCTCGAGTCGGGAGTCACTCTCCAGAATGTGCCCGTCGCCTACACCACGCGGGGCAAGCTCAACGCCAACGGCGACAATGCCATGGTCATCTGCCATGCCTTGACTGGCAGCGCAGACGTCAGCGACTGGTGGGGTCCCCTCCTCGGTGGACCCGGAAGAGCGTTCGACACTTCGAGATTCTTCATTGTGTGCATGAATGCTCTCGGAAGCCCTTACGGCACCGCAAGCCCAGTCACTGCCAAGGACGGCGATCCGTCCAAGGGGAGATACGGGCCCGAATTCCCTCTCACGACAATCCGTGATGATGTCAAGTGAGTGTGCTCGCCCCAGTGGGTACCTACATCAACTAACACGGAAATCAAGCCTGCACAAGCTGCTGTTGGATGAGCTCGGAGTAAAGCAAATCGCCGCAGTCATCGGTGGATCTCTCGGCGGCATGTTTGTGTTGGAGTGGGCGTACCTGGGCAAGGAGTACATCCGCTGCATTGTGCCTATTGCAACCTCGAGCAGACACAGCGCATGGGGTATCAGCTGGGGCGAGGCACAGAGACAGAGCATCTATGCCGACCCCAAGTACGACGACGGCTACTACCCATTCGACGACCCGCCGTCGACCGGTCTCGGCGCCGCTCGCATGTCCGCTCTCCTGACCTACCGCAGCCGAAACTCCTTCGAGTCCCGTTTCGGACGGAACATACCGGACCCCTCAAGGCGGCAGACTATCCGCGAGAAGCCCCGGCCCAGCACGCCGTCAGAGGCCCACTTCCACATTCACAACGACGGTCACAATGTCAAGCGGGCTACCATCTCGCGGCAGAACAGCCAGGGAGGCATCAGCGAGACGTCTGTTAACGGCGCGACTGCAGACGCAGTTGCCGACACTCCTGACCCCCAATTCCACGGTCCCCAGACCGACAGCCTTACGGGTGGCGACAAGCTCCCTACTTCGACATACTTCTCCGCGCAGTCGTACCTGCGCTACCAGGGACAGAAGTTTGTGAAGCGTTTCGACAGCAACTGCTACATTGCCATGACGAGGAAGCTCGATACTCACGATGTCTCCCGTGACCGCGCGCCGACGATTGCTGAGGCTTTGGCCCTTATCGAGCAACCCACATTGGTTCTCGGTATTGAGAGCGACGGCCTGTTTACCTTCGCTGAGCAGGAGGAGATCGCCGAGCACATCAAGAACGCCAGGCTCGAGCGTATTGATAGCCCTGAGGGCCACGACGCCTTCTTGCTGCAATTCGAGCAAGTCAACCACTATGTGTTGGGCTTCTTGAAAGAAACGTTGCCTGATATTATGAGCAAGCAGGGCGAGGAGGTCGAGGAAGTTGGTGTGGGTCAGCTGACCAAGAGTAGCACCTTTGGAGAGGCCGAGGTAGACGACATTACCGCCTGGTAGGAAAGATATGACGGTGGTGTCTGGTGGAGTTTTGTGTGTTTGTTTTGTTTCAACAGGCCTGGTTTCTTTCAACAAGTCAGCGATCATGGAAATAGACGGTGCAAAAAATGGAACTCTGCATGCTGCGTTAAGTTGGGATGTCTCTGCTCAAGCGGACGATTCGGACGTGACGTGTCAGTCCAGAACTTCAATGAAGCGGAACCAGTACCCGTACGCAATCTCCAGGCTTCAGTTCTTAGCATGCCATAGGCAGAGCCAGGCGCGAGAGTTTCCACTTGACGCCCGGAAATTCAGATCCCCGCCGGCCCATATTGTAGTGTGTAACATGGCACCGGACGTCAGATCTGGGTGCGGAGGTTATCTCAGCGCAGGGCAGAACGGAGGGGGGCACCGTATGGCCGACGTATCTGGCACCGTCCGTACGAGGGACGAACGATGCCGCAAACGTGTGTCAACTTCTAGCTGTCTCTTGCGTGAGACTCCAACTTTGTTTGGTCAACTTTGTTGTGTAAATGTGATAATTATGAACGCCGGCGGAATGGTCCGCCATCGTCGAGTCGAGCCCGTTGTTGAACGCCCGCAATTGTTGACATGAATAAGGATCCTGCGGCAGGTTGCCACGCGGAGTGAGATGGATTGGAGATGAAGAACCATTCGGAAATTCCTGAACTCATATCTGCTAGCCTCCGCCACAAAGACAGCGTGAGCAGCGCCAACGGAGGTTTTCCGCGGGTCAAGAAGCTAGAATGAGGTCAGAAGATGACTCGCCAATCATTCCACAGAGAAGTGAAACGAAAGTTGATCGCGAGCAAAGACCACGAGCTTGCTTCGTGGTTGGAGAGAAGAGCGGGAATACTATGGTAGGGCGCATTGAGACGTTTTACGTCAGCCGGCTATTGGCACGACTCGACAAATCATTTGCCTGCCACCAGCGTACTGCTTGAGCGGAAGCGAGTGCAGTCGTTTTTCCGCCTCTCTCAGCCAGGCAAAAAAAACCAGCAACAGCCCGGCCAAGCATCGACGATGGAAGTGTAGAAATGCGGACCCCCCTACCGCACATCGTCAGCAGCCGGAGAAGGCTCGGTCTCGAGGCCCACGAGGTCCACGTGTCAGAGGGTATCCTTGCCATTGGCTCGGGGAACCCTTGTCCGTCTCGGTGAAGAGGCAGGCGAGTGCATTGGCAGATCTGGAGACTGTGGGGGGTTCGAGGTGGTCCTGTCATCAGCAAGGCGGACGGGAATACCTGGGCACGGCTATTGTGCTGGCAATTGGTTAGGTAAACCGCGGCGTGCTGAGGCGTCCTGTGTCGCCGTGGCTGGGCAAGAGAGAGGTCAAGACGGCAGAGTATGGTTGGACAGCAGACAAGACAAAGAGGAGCGCGTTTTCAACGTGTTTTATCCGCCATCAAGCCACCACCCCTCGTGGGCGAGAAGAAAGGCTTATGGTTCAGGTTGACAGTGGCCCAATCGGGACAGATCTGCTGCCGGTCTGCGTCAAGAGGGTTCCGTGTGGACGGTGTTCCAGCGCCCTTCTAGAAGGAGCACCCCTGCCTGGTATCAGTGGGGAGGAGCCACCGCATAAAGGGTACTTTCCCTGCCGCTCCACGAGTGTCCTGCGGACGTTGCGGACGGCACAGACGCGCCTTTTTCTGAGTGTAACAGTGCAACATGGAAAAGGACGAAGGGAAGGAGTGCCGCTGGAGGAAAGCACTTTCTTAAGGCGTGAAGACAGGGCAGGGTCGACTAACGATCCAACGGGCAAGAAGCAAGCGAGGTGGGGGCTTCCATGACTGAGGCAACGTGGGGTTGCACCTGGCACCTGCCCTGTGTTGCCCTGTCTCCCGTCCATGCCTGCCTGTCTGCCTGCCTTCCTCAGCTGTAAGCCTGTGCCTGCCTGTGCCCATTTCCAGCTTCCGGATGCGAATGCACCCTGATGTCTGAGATCCACGGGCTGGCGTCTGGCCTCCTCAAGTTTATTCCCAAGTTATTCGTATCCATGGTACTGCACCTTGTCTTAATACATTGCCTTACCTCCACCGTACCTACCTTGCTTTGGTATCTACCTATCCTGCAGTCGCAAGTCGCAAGTCGCAAGTTGCAGCAGGTGCGTTCAGACCCAGAGTCCAGCCAGGTCCGGCTTCCGTGACAGTTTGGCAACTGCCCGTCCTTTCTTTCTGGCCTGTCCCTCTCCCCCATTTCCGTCCTGGCTGGCCGCGCACTGCTACTGTTCCTCGTCTCAAATGACCAACAGTTGGCCCTCACATCTGTCCGATCC